ATGTGCAGGTGTGGGGAGACGTGCTGAGTTTAGGCTGAGTTTAGGCTGAGTTTAGGCTGAGTTTAGGCTGAGTTTAGGCTGAGTTTAGGCTGAGTTTAGGCTGAGTGTAGGCTGAGTTTAGGCTGAGTGTAGGCTGAGTTTAGGCTGAGTTTAGGCTGAGTGTAGGCTGAGTTTAGGCTGAGTGTAGGCTGAGTTTAGGCTGACTTTAGGCTGAGTTTAGGCTGAGTTTAGGCTGAGTTTAGGCTGAGTGTAGGCTGAGTTTAGGCTGAGTGTAGGCTGAGTTTAGGCTGAGTTTAGGCTGAGTTTAGGCTGAGTTTAGGCTGAGTTTAGGCTGAGTTTAGGCTGAGTGTAGGCTGAGTTTAGGCTGAGTGTAGGCTGAGTTTAGGCTGAGTGTAGGCTGACTTTAGGCCGAGTTTAGGCTGAGTGTAGGCTGAGTTTAGGCTGAGTTTAGGCTGAGTGTAGGCTGAGTTTAGGCTGAGTTTAGGCTGAGTTTAGGCTGAGTTTAGGCTGAGTGTAGGCTGAGTTTAGGCTGAGTGTAGGCTGAGTTTAGGCTGAGTGTAGGCTGACTTTAGGCTGAGTTTAGGCTGAGTGTAGGCTGAGTTTAGGCTGAGTTTAGGCCGTGAGTTTTCCCGGCACATCTTGAAAACTGGTTCTGGGCTTTGCGTTTGGTTCTGGGCTTTGCGTTTGGTTCTGGGCTTTGCGTTTGGTCGGGGCTTTGCGTTTGGTCGGGGCTTTGCGTTTGGTCGGGGCTTTGCGTTTGGTCGGGGCTTTGCGTTTGGTCGGGGCTTTGCGTTTGGTCGGGGCTTTGCGTTTGGTCCTGGGCTTTGCGCTTGGTCGGGGCTTTGCGTTTGGTCGGGGCTTTGCGTTTGGTCGGGGCTTTGCGTTTGGTCCTGGGCTTTGCGTTTGGTCCTGGGCTTTGCGTTTGGTCCTGGGCTTTGCGTTTGGTCCTGGGCTTTGCGTTTGGTTCTGGGCTTTGCGTTTGGTTCTGGGCTTTGCGTTTGGTTCTGGGCTTTGCGTTTGGTTCGGGGCTTTGCGTTTGGTTCTGGGCTTTGCGTTTGGTTCTGGGCTTTGCGTTTGGTTCTGGGTCTTATGTGTTCCCGGCTGAGTTTAGGTCTCGGCCTCCTGGGTCGGGGCTTTGCGTTTGGTGCGTTTGGTGCGTTTGGTGCGTTTGGTGCGTTTGGTCCGTTTGTGAGCAGTGGCGTGGTGCCGGCCCTGGCGGGAATCAGCCACGTGGCCATCCAGTTCCCCATGTACGAGTACCTCAAGCAGCAGATCGCGTGCAGAGGTGAGAATGGGTGCCAACAGGTTCGCGTCAAGAGTTGGGATGGTTGCTTTCTGGCGTGGTGCCGGCCCTGGCGGGAGTCAGTCATGCAGAGGTGCGTTGGTTGGTCCGGTGTGGCACTGTGTGACGTCACATGGCCGTCCAGTTCCCCATGTACTAGTACCTGCAGCAGCAAATAGCGTGCATAGGTGAGACGGTTGCTTTGAAGGGCATGTGATGGCATGTGGACACGTAGTGACTGGTGGTCTGGCCATTCAGTTCCCCATGTACGAGTACCTCAAGCAACAGGTAGCATGCACAGGTGAGAAAGGGTGCACAGGTGAGAAAGGGTGCACAGGTGATGGTGACCTGCTATGTATGGCACGCTCGCTGTGGCCATTTAGTTGCAGTTCCCCATGTACGAGTATCTGAAGCACGTTTGAGGAATGCAGAGGTGACATGGTTGCTTTGTGGGGCATGTTATGGGGCATGGGAAATACATGGTGTCTAGTGCTGTGGCCATTCAGTTCCCCATGTACGAGTACCTCATGCAACAGATCGCACAGGTGAGTGAGTGAGCATGGCTTGTTTTGGGTTCGCACATGCAGTGATGCCTAGTTGCAGCGGTGACTAGTTCTCTAGAAAATGGTGCGAACCCTTCTGCCTAGAAAGCGGTGCAATTTAGTCTCCGCCTCCAACACTCCCAACCGTGAGGAGGGGTTTCACGGACACCTCCTCACGGCCTCCCACCTCCTCACGGCCTCCCACCTCCTCACGGCCTCCCACCTCCTCACGGCCTCCCACCTCCTCACGGCCTCCCACCTCCTCACGGCCTCCCACCTCCTCACGCCTCCCACCTCCTCACGGCCTCCCACCTCCTCACGGCCTCCCACCTCCTCACGGCCTCCCACCTCCTCACCCGCCTCTGCCATCCCATGTGTTCCCACCGCCCTCCCTTCTGACCTCCCTCTCTCTCCTAAGTGGTGCTCTATCCTCTTCCTAAGTGGTGCTCTATCCTCTTCCTAAGTGGTGCTCTATCCTCTTCCCCCTGTGTGTCATGCCTCAGGAGGGTCAACCACGGACACCCTCACCCCCTCCCAGCTGGCAGCCGCCTCTGCGATCTCTAAAGTCTTTGCGTCAACACTCACATACCCACATGAGGTAAGCCCCTCTTTCCTTGCACGCACAACCCTGTCCCAGCTAGCAGCCGCCTCTGCAGTCTCTCCAGTCTTTGCGTCCACACTCACATACCCGCATGAGGTAAGTGCTCTGCTCATTGCGTTTTAAGAGACGACTGTAAATGCACCTTCGATCTCCGAAGGCTTTGTGCACCGTCCTATCAAAGGCATGGGACGTCGGCTCATCAACACTAGGCAAAGGCCTTTCCTCTTCCTTGTTTGCCTCGTTGGTACGAGAAATGGCCATCGACGAGACTCAGAATCACTTACTTTCTTTGCTCTCCTCCCTCCCATTCCTACCCCCTTCAGGTGGTGAGGGCACGGCTGCAGGAGCAGGGGAAGGACCTTGGGAATGTGCACCGGTACACTGGCGTGGGTGACTGTATAACGCGGGTGAGTGTAGCCTACGCTATGGTAGCCTCGGTTATAGCCCATCGGTACATGGTGTGGGTGACTGTAAAATGCAGGTAGTGGCCTCAGTTACAGCCCACCGGTACACTGGCATGGATGACTATACCATGCGGGTGAGTGTAGCTCGTTGTTACACTGGCGTGGGTGACAATGTGATGCAGGTTACTATTTTTGAGGCGCCTAAAAAATAGACTCCTCACGCTTGTTACACTGGCGTGGGTGACAATGTGATGCAGGTGAGTATTTTTGAGGCGCCTAAAAAATAGACTCCTCACGCCTGTTACACTGGCGTGGGTGACAATGTGATGTGGGTGGCCTTAACTCAAGCTATAGCTCTGTGTGCATTTATGTCAGCTTAAAGTCAGCTGGGTGTTTTGAGTTTATCCAAATGCAGCTATTATGACTTACAACCTGTCTGCACAGTATTGTAATCACTATTCCCATTCGATGCACTCATGAATCTGCAGTGTATTTTTTATAATTCTTAAGAAATCCCATTTGATGCACTCATGAATCTGCAGTGTATTTTGATAATTCTTAAGAAATCCCATTCGATGCACTCATGAATCGAATGGGCAGGGAGGAGAGGGATGGTGGGAATAGTGGAGGCCAGGAAGACATGAGAGATTCATCCCTCATCCCTCATCCCTCATCCCTCGTCTCATTCTATTCCCTCTTCCTGCCTCCACTATTCCCACCACCCCTCTCCTCTCCTGCCCCTCCCCTAAATTCAACCATCAGATATTCAACGAGGAGAGCATTCACTGCTTCTATCTGGCTATCTGTTGTCTCTCTCACTCCTGTCTCCCCTCTCCTCTTCTCCCTCCTGTCCTCCCCATCCACTCCAACCATCAGATATTCAAGGAGGAGGGCATTCGGGGCTTCTATCGGGGGTGTGTGACGAACCTCTTTAGAACCACACCTGCTGCAGTCATCACCTTCACCTCGTTTGAGCTGCTCATTCGAACCCTGCCCACCGTCTTCCCTCCCGCATCCCGCACCTACGAAGACCTTGCCGAGGAAAGCACCTCCTAGCAGCTCCCACACGCCCCCATTTATCCTCATCATAGTAATCTTCCTCTGTGCCTCTTCCTCATTTGGAGATGCATAGCCGTAGGTCTCGAACTATGGCCGCGTAAGTTCACAATCAGAGAGAAATTCGGCCATGCAGATGCAAAGTTTTGAATTTGTATGAAGGGGAGGATGGTACAATGGAAATAATTGTGCTAGCATGTTTTGCTAGCTCAAGAACAAATGTTTTTGTACTAGTATATCTTATGCTATGGTACTGTCCGTGAGATGCAATGTCATGGCTAACCAATTATGAGCACTTTCACGTGGGTTACTGTATATACTGCATAGCATAATGAGGTAATTCACTCGTTATGGAAATGTGATCAAGGGTTTATCATACTCTGGCCAATGTATACTCGGCGAGTTGTTGTGCTTGAAAACATACGGATCACTCTATCTCGGTGCCGGGGTGCGCCTGACGAGGCGCCAGATCTCAAATCGGAATCGCGCATCTGACAGCCCAATTCGAGGAGCCCTCGAATAAGCGCGACTCGCGGGGGACAAATCCCCCCTCCCCCTGCTGGCATTCCCTGAAGCCAACCCCCCGGAAACCTGCAGACAGCCACAGGCAGAGCCTCTGCTGGAGAGATTGATTTCTGAAACCTCGATTTCTGCTCGCGAAATGACTGCGGTGCTGAAACCTCGATTTCTGCTCGCGAAATGACTGCAGTGCCGAAACCTCGAATTACTGCCATCCGGAAGGAAATGCTCGCAGACATGCAGACAGCCAGAGACACGCAGACATGCAGGGGTGAAGGACGTATGCCTAGTTGCGGCTGGGGGTCCGAAATCGCGTGACATGGCAGCCTCAGCTTCAAAAGCTGTGCCCATTCGCAGCCCCTCTCCGCCACTTGCGCTTCGCACGCTCCCACCGCCCCCGTCTGCTGTTTCAACCTGCGCTTTCGCTTAGCCCCACATTCGCCAGAGCTACCCTCGACTCGTGCTGAAATAGCAAGGATCGTCGCCGGTGTTCCGTAGATATTAAAAAAGCGAGCTACTAGCGAGAGAACCTTTGTAGTAAGCCCCAAGTTCAGAGAGCTTCGCAAGTAAGTCCCGCTAGGCGCGCGTACGAAGTCTTAGTGGAATCAATGCTTCCCCTCTTGGGTCTAATTGAGAGTTCCGGAAACACGCGAGCACTGGTCAAGCTCTTGCTGTCGACTGCACATGCTTCACCTGCATAGACTGTTTCCGCTTCTAGACGCAAAAACTTGTACAGAATCTAGCATAGGGCAGTAGACGCCTTTTGTACCACTGTAAAATCGCAGATATTGATCTGGGCACCCTTCCATACGACCACTGATACTCTTGCATTGAAGCTACCACATTTTCTAGACATTCCAAAAACAGCATTCTTATCTGAGTCCTTTACAGCCGCCATCACGACCACCATGGCGTCCCTTCTCCAACACTCACCCCTTCACCAAGCTTACCTTTCGCGCGCTCTCTCTTTCCTCCTCGTCTCCGCTCTCATCGCCGCATCCGCCGCCGCATCCTCCGCCTCGCTCTTCGCGCTCCCTTCGTCTCTCGACATCCGCTCCCTTCCTCCATCGCGGCTCGAATCCGCAGCAGGCCCGTCCCACGAGCCGCAGGTGCCGCCGCACGGGGCGCCCTTCGAAGCGCATGTGCCGTCAAGCGACTCAGGACTGGGGTCGAACGAAAATGCCACGGCGGTCGATAGCCCCGCGACTCGAGACTTGACGTTCTCTCCGTTTCACGTCTTCCGCGCTCCGTTCGGCTGCGCCCTCATCGAAATCCCCGAGAAACGCGCGCCGGAAATCCCGGATGTTGAGCTGTCGGACACGTCAGACCCCACTGATGATGACGTCAGCGGAGTTACAAGACTGGATGTTTCGTCAACAGCAGACGCGCTATATCTAGAAGAAACCGCGGTGAGAAGCAAGAAGGGCAGAGATAGCTCTCTGGATCAATCTCAGGGGGAGAAGGAGCGGGACGACGGGGAGGCGGAGTGGGAGGCGGAGCGGGCCGAGGGGGAGGCGGAGTGGGAGGCAGAGGGGGGCGAGGGGGAGGTGCGCACGGTTTTTGGCGAGCTTGCTGCGCCACTGACGGTTGCGACTCCGCTGCGCGTGTTTCGAGCTGCCGACGGCTCGTTAATGGAGGAACCCGAGATAAGCGACAACCCGGTGCTGTTCACCAGTTTAGACGAGCTGTACCTTGAGGAAGTGGTTGTACGGACACGTGCGGCACGCGTGCGGACACGTGCGCCACTCGCGCGGACACGCGCGTCGCTTGCGGGGGAGAGCAGACAGTTGGAACGGGGAGTGTCGGGGGAGGGGGGCGCAGATGGTGCTATTTTCGGGGCGTTCCACGTTTTCCGGGCAGATAACGGCTCGCTGGTGGAATTGACGGAACGCGAAGCTGCGTTGACGGCGACGGACGGTGACCGCTTGCCGCTGATGGAATTCAACGGAGCATCGTTAGCAGATCTTGACCGGCTATACAACCAAGAAAACCCCGTCCGTTTCCGTCCGTCGCCCCCCTCCTCCTCCCCAACACCCGTTCGTCGACGGCTGCGGATGACTGCCGATAAACAGATAGAAATCGTTTATGAGAACGAGGAGGAGGAGGACGCTAAACCGAAAGCTGCAAGAGATGCTGGGGACGAGGAGAAGGAGGAGGAGAACGAGGAGGAGAACGAGGAGGAGGAGGAGGAGCGTAGGGCAATGCAACCCGTGCACGTGTTTAGGGGAGCAGATGGGGTTTTACATGAAACAGACGAAGACAATAGCGGGGATAAACGAAATGCCAGTGAGGGTGACGACGATCCAAGCGAGAGAGGGTTGGACGACGGTGTGGGCCGCGGCGAGCGCAGGAGGAAGGGATTGAGAATGAATTCGAGGGAGGATGCGCCGGGCGATGCGCCGCTGGACGCGCCGGCTGATGCGCCGGTTGATGCGGCTGATGCGGCTGCAGAGGCGGAGCTGGAGTACGAGTTTGCATTGGCGGTGCGCACGAGGAGAGTAATGACGTTTGGGGGAGTGTAAGCTGAAACGTCGCTCGGTATAGAACAGAAGCCTGTATTACTGTACTCTGCAAATACTTATATCGTGTATTGTAGTGTAGTTTATGGAATAAAGAAACATTATGCTAATACGCTTGCCTTTTCGAAAGGTTAGGTGAAGGATACGACCAACACTACGTCTACCACTACTTTCCTATCTCCAGCATAGTTTTCTACCCTGAGCTGGAATTTATTGAGCGAAAAAAACAAGCGAGCAAAAGAAAAGAAAGGCCCTAAATTACTAGCTGTGAAATGGCATCCTGGAGCGTGAGGATGCAGGAGCTAGGCGGCAGATTAGCTCTGCAGCCAAGTCAATCAGTAATGTCAGCAAACTGGGGTCAGGCAGGTGAGAGATTGCACTTGAGGAAGCACAAATCGAGTGCACCCAGCCCAACCGGCAACACGTTGCTTGCTTATGCAGTCCAGACTGGAATCCTGTTGATGTGGTACACCATCAGCCATGCAAAGTCGCACTCACAACTGCACTGTTCCTTTACCCACTCCAAACATGGTCTTGTCACTCCACATACGGAAGTCAGCAGAAGGTTCCGCCATTGGAGCTTCAGCACAGCAGCCCTCTCACATCTGGATGCGAGGAGAGGAGAGGAGAAGGGGAAGGGCAGTGAGCACAGAGGTTTAGGACGGGCAGGAAAGAAAAAGGAAGCAGAACCAAGCAGAAACAGAGAAAGAAGAGTGTTTTGAAAGTGCTGGAATGAAACAGAGTCCCGTGCCTTTCCCCCTCGTATCCTTATCTCCCTCCTCGCTTCCTCCATCTCTCCACCCTGAAAGCTGTCAACAACCAACGACGCACCACTTTAACCCGCTCCCCTTCAACCCGCTGCCCTTCACCCCGCTGCCCTTCACACCGCTGCCCTTCACACCGCTGCCCTTCACACCATACCTCTCAACGCTCTTCGCTTGGCTCCAGGCTCTTGGTGCTTCGACCCAGCCCTTCCGAAGCCCCACCCATACCGGCCCATCTGTAACCATATCCTCTTCCTTTGCTTCTCCTCCTTTTTGTCCTCCCTATTGTCCTCCCTATACACGTCTTTGATAACGTTCGGCAGATGCTGATGGATAGTCACATCTACACTACCATCCCCATCGGCCCACAGTCCGTCTACCATCGACCCAAAGAAATTGGGCTGCTAGTACTAGTGCAGTTTGGCTTGATACAGCTGCTACTCCTGCTACTGCTACAGTTTGTACCCTCAGAAAATAGGTGACCTTCCTACGCTGCTGCTACTCTTCCATGACAACTAATACAGCTGCTACTCCCGCTACTGCTACAGCGGCTGCCACTGCCTGTAACATGCTTCTTCTCTACCCTATCTTCTTAGGATTCGCTTGCAGGCTGTCTATTCGCTTGCTCTTCCCCTGTCTATTCGTGGCTTACTGCTAGCGGCTCTCCTCCCACCCCCTCTTTTCCTCCCTCCCCTCCCCCTATATCCTTCCTCATCCCCCCACCCTTCTTCATGTTACCCCCCCCACCCTCCTTCATCTCCCCGTCAATTTCTTCGTCCTTCTTCGCTCCGATCATCTCCCCATTCTCACCAATCTCACTGCTCGTTCTGCAGTCTATCTCCATACCCTCACCCTCTCTCCCGTCCTTCCTCCTTCCATCGTCCTCTCCCCCATCGATGTCCATCCCATCACCCCCTCTGTCATCCCCCCTCTTCCCACCCGCTTCCTCCCCATCCACTTCCATACTTTCACGCTCCTCCTTCGCCCTCCCCTCCCTTGCCGCTCTCTTCTTCTCCATTGCCTCATTCTCTCCCGCTGCCAATGCTGCTACACCCATCGCCATGACTGCTTTTGCTCCTGCTCCTGCTACTACCAGCTTGATTCCTTCTGCTCCTGATTTAGGTGCTGCTGCATCAGGTGCTGCTGCTGCTCCCTCCGTCACCTGTGCTGATCGCTGCAATCCCTTCAAACTATTACGCTCTGCCTCAGCTGCTCCAGTCAGAACTGTCGCTTCTGCTCCCTTCTTCACTCCCTCCTCTCTCTCTGCTCTCTCTGCTCCTTTCTCTCCCTCTACTCCCTTCGTTTCTCCCTCTCCTCCCTTCGTTTCTCCCTCTACTCCCTTCGTTTCTCCCTCTTCTCCCTTCGTTTCTCCCTCTTCTCCCTTCGTTTCTCCCTCTTCTCCCTTCGTTTCTCCCTCTCCTCCCTTCGTTTCTCCCTCTTCTCCCTCCTTCTCCCCCTCTCCTCCCTTTTTCTCTCCCCCTCTTCCTTTCTTCTCTCCCCCTCCTCCCTTCTTCTCTCCCTCTCCTCCCCTCTTCTCTCCCTTCGCTCTCTCTTTCTCTCCCTCTGCTCGTGCTGCCACCGCTGGGGCTGCCACTTCAGAGGGAATCACAGAAACAGGTGCAGCTGTAACAGCAGCAACTGGGGGAGGTGCAGCTGTAACAGCAGCAACTGAGGGAGGTGCCGCTGTAATAGCTGCAGGCGTTACTGTCACAGGAGTGACTATAGCAGCTGCAGCTGTAGCACCAGCTGCTGCTGTAGCACCAGCGGGTGTAGCTGCAGCTGCTGCTGTAGCAGGCACAGCCGGATCAACTGAAGAAGGCACCACTGGGGAGGCTGCAACTGGAGCAGGTACACCTGAGACAGGTGCTACAGCAGGGGCAGGTGCAACTGGGGGAGGTTGAATTGGGGGAGGCACAACTGGGGCAGGCACAACTGGAGCAGGCACAACTGGAGCAGGCACAACTGGAGGAGGTACAACTGGGGCAAGAGGTGTGACTGGGGCAGATGCAGCTGGCCCAGTGAGGATTGGTGAGGAAGCAGGGGGGAGTGGGGCTTTGGTAGCAAAACTCGGCAGATCAGCCATTGACGCAGCAGCAGCTGCTGCTGTCGCCACTGCTGGCCCAGGCACACCTGCTGCACTTGCTGCTGAATCTGCTGCTGCTCTGCTCGCTGCTGCTGCTGCTGCTGCTGCAGGCACTGGTGGTACTGACGCCTCCCCTGCCCTTCCTGCTACTTCTCCATCCACATCGGCGGGTTGCACAGTCACTGCCTTAGGAGTGGGTGTCGATGTTGCATCGGACGTTTGCAAGGTTGCAGCCTTGGGAGTGTGAGTCGATGCTGCATTGGAAGCGTGAGCCACTGGTATCTTACAAGGACCTGCCGCTGGCGCTGCTGCTGAGTCTGCTGCTGCTGAGACCACTGGTATCCTACAAGGATCTACTGCAAGAGACTTGGCCTCACTCTTGCCTTGGTTGACGGAGCCCTTGGTTCCTTCAGTTGTTAAGGGAGTGGGTGTTACTTCTGGTCTTACAGTCCGTGTCATTGTGGGTGTCACTGTGGGTGCAGCTGTAACAGGTGTGACTGTGGCTGAGGGTGATACTATCACAGGTGCAACTGTAGATGAAGGTGTTACTGTAACAGGTGCAACTGTAGATGAGGATGTTATTGTAACAGGTGTGACTGTGGTTGTTGTTAGACAGGAAGAGGCCAATGGGGCGATTGGTGTTGTGCTGCCTGAAAGCGCTGCAGGGCCCTCAGTAGCGGCTGATTCTGCTGCACTCGTCTGTGCTTTGGCCACTGGCGGTGGTGTTGCTGTTGCTGTTGCCACAGTTGGTGTTGTGCTGCCTGACTGTGCTGCAGCGGTTGATTCTGCTGCACTCGTTGCAGCTGCTGCTGCCACCACTGCTGCTGCTGCGCCCTCAGTTCCAATTGATTCTGCGGCACTGGCCAGTGCTTTGGTCACTGGCGGTACTGGCAGTGGTGTTGCTGCTGCTGCTCGTGTTGCTGCTGCTGCGCCTCCTGCTGCAGCTTTCGGCACTTCAACCGCTGCTGGTGCCGCCCCTGCTGCTGCCGGTGCCGCCGCTGCTGCAGCTGGTGCCGCTGCTGCTGCTGCCAGTGCCGCCGCTGCTGTTGCTGCAGCTGGTGCCGCAGCTGCTGCAGCTGGTGCTGCCACTGCTGCTGCTGGTGTTGCTGGTGGCGATGTTGTTCCTGCTGCTGCTGCTGGCCCTGCAGCTACTGGTGTTGCTGCTAGTGCTGCTCCTGTCACGTCTGCAGCTACTGGTGCTGCTGCTGGCCCTGCAGTACCGGCAACAGCAGCACCAGCAACAGCAGTTATTACTGCTGCCTTTGCAGCTTCAGGAGCCGCTGCTGCTGCCTTTGCACCTGCAGCCGTAGCAGCATCTCCTGCTGCTGGCACTGCTGGCACTACTGCCGCCACTGCTGACACTGCTGGCACTACTGCCGGCACTACTGCCGGCACTGCTGGCACTGCTGGCACTGCTGGCACTGCTGCCTGCACTGCTGCTGGCACTGCTGGTGCTGCTGCTGGCACTGCTGCTGGCACTGCTGCCGGCACTGCTGGTGGTGCTGGTTTGGCTACCGCTGTCGGGTTAGCCAGCAGTACAGCAGGGATTGCAGATGCTACAGCAGGGGTTGCAGATGCTACAGCAGGGGTTGCAGACGCTACAGCAGCGTTAGCAGATGCTACAGCAGGGCCGACACACATTGCAGCAGGGTCAGTGGGCAGTGCAGGAGGTGCTACAGCCGCTGCTACAGATGCTACAGCAGCGTTGACACACATTGCAGCAGGGTCAGCGGGCAGTGCGGCAGGTGTTACAGCAAAACTTACAGAGGCTACAATAGGGCCCTTCACAGACTGTGCTTGTGCAGGGTGTGACTGTACCGCATGTGCCTGGACTGCAGGCGGGTGTGACTGTGAGAGTGGTGGCTGTAATGGTGGATGTACAGGAGGCACCTTCAGGACAGAGCAGGCAGCAGCACCAGCCAATGCAGAGGGGGGAGCAGGAGTGGGGGGAAGAGGAACGGAGGGAGCAGGACTAGGGGGAGCAGGAGTGGGCGGAACAGGAGCAGGGGTGACTGGGGTAAGGGGAACAGGAGGTGGGGGGGCAGGAGTGGGCGGAACAGAAGCGGGGGGAACCGGGGTAAGGGGAACAGGAGTGGGGGGGCAGGAGTGGGCGGAACAGGAGTGCGAGGCCTGATTGGTGCGGCGTGTGCCGGAGAAGAGGCAAGCAGGGCAGCTACCTTGGCAGCAGCAGCCACTTGCGCAGGAGGCGCTGGGGCAGGAGTCGTATGGGCGTTTGACATCTGGGCAGGAGGCACGTAGGCACTGCTAGTTTGCATGCCTGCTGAGTTACTACCTGGTGCCCGGGTCATCTTCTTAGGCAGTACCTGTTGCAATGGCTGCTGGAGGTTCTTTTGTACTAAAGTCCCTCCTACTAGTCCCTGCCCCTGCCCCTGCAGCTTTGCTTTTGCCTGTGCCTGTGCTGGTGCCATTGGTGCTGGTACCACAGGCTTTGATAATGCAGCTAGTGCTGGTGGAACAGACACTGGTACTACGGGTGCAACTGGTGCTGGTGCAACTGGTACGACGGGTGCAACTGGTGCTGGTGCAACTGGTACGACGGGTGCAACTGGTGCTGCTGCCGCTGGTGCTGGTGCAACTGGTACTACGGGTGCAACTGGTGCTGCTGCCGCTGGTGCTGGTGCAACTGGTACTACGGGTGCAACTGGTGCTGCTGCCGCTGGTGCTGGTGCAACTGGTACTACGGGTGCAACTGGTGCTGCTGCCGCTGGTGCTGGTGCAACTGGTACTACGGGTGCAACTGGTGCTGCTGCCGCTGGTGCTGGTGCAACTGGTACTACGGGTGCAACTGGTGCTGCTGCCGCTGGTGCTGGTGCAACTGGTACTACGGGTGCAACTGGTGCTGCTGCCGCTGGTGCTGGTGCAACTGGTACTACGGGTGCAACTGGTGCTGCTGCCGCTTGTGCTGGTGCAACTGGTACTACGGGTGCAACTGGTGCTGCTGCCGCTGGTGTTGGTGCAACTGGTACTACGGGTGCAACTGGTGCTGCTGCCGCTGGTGCTGGTGCAACTGGTACTACGGGTGCAACTGGTACTACGGGTGCAACTGGCGCTGGTGCAACTGGTATGGGTGCTACTGTCGCTGCTGCACTCGGTGCTGGTGCTACAACTGCTGCTGCTCCAACTGCGGCACCAGCTGCTGATGCTGCAACTGGTGCTGGTGCTACAACTGCTGCTGCTCCAACTGCCTCACCCCTTGCTGCTGTTGCAACTGCTGCTGCTGCCACTGGTGGTGCTGCAGCTGGCGCTGCTGCCACTGCGGGTGCTGCAGCTGGCGCTGCTGCCACTGGTGCTGGCACAACTGCTGCAACAGGTGCTGGTGAAACATTCCTAGGTGCGATGGCCCCTCCATGTGTCTGAGCAGCACCTGCGGGTCGTTGCGCTGATGCCACATGCGACTGACCAGCAGCAGCTTGAGCCCCCTGCTGCCCAAGCGGCCCCTTCTGCCCCAGTTGCACCTGGCCAGCTTGCCCCTGCCCTGGCGCAACCTGCCCTGTTTGCACCTGCCCTGGTTGCACCTGCCCTGCCCCCGTAGTCCCTGCCTGCCCTGCCCCCATAGTCCCTGCCTGCCCTGCTGTTGCAAACCCCTGCACCGGCTCCTTATCCGTTCTCATCTTCTTCTGAGGTGGTTCCTGCCCCTCCTTCCCCTGCTGCTGCTGCTGCTGCTGCTGCGTGAGCAGCTGCTGCTGGGGCGGCTGTAGGGGTTGCTGTAGGGGCTGGTGAGGATGATGCTGTGGTTTTGGCAGTACCAGTTGCTGCGGCACCAGCTGGGGTGGCCTTGGCTGCTGCTGCTGCTGCTGCTGCTGCTGCTGCTGAGGCAACCGTGGCAGCAACACCGGCTTTTGCTGCGTCACAAAACGCTGCTGCCCCCGCTGCAGCTGCTGCCCCTGCTGCAGCTGCTGCTGCTGCTGCTGCTGCCCCTGCTGCTGCTGCTGCTGTGGCAGCAGCTGTGGCAGCGGTGGTGATGTGGACGGGGTAGCCAGGCGCGGAATGGGCATCCCCTTCTGCTGCCCCACTGTCCCTGGCAGCCCCATCCCCACCCCCGCCCCTATGGGCCTTTGCACCGCCCCTGCATGCACCACTCCCGGTTGGACCCTTGCTTGTCCAAACCCGGTTGCTCCTGCCCCTGCCTGCCCCATTCCCGCCTGCCCCACTCCCGCCTGCCCCACTCCTGCCTGCCCCACTCCCGCCTGCCCCACTCCTCCCTGCCCTACACCTGTCTGTCCTATTGATGCCTGAACTGATGGTGCCTGCCCCACTCCTGCCTGAATCGACCCTGCAGGAGAAATCCCAGGTATTCTCAGGTGGGTGGACGGACCCCCTGCAGCAGCACCCTGCACTGGAGCAGGTGCCACCCGTGGCAAATGTGCCGCCTGCCCATGCGCCTGCCCATGTGCCTGCCCATGCGCCTGCCCATGTGCCTGCCCATGCGCCTGCCCATGCGCCTGCCCATGTGCCTGCCCATGCGCCTGCCCATGTGCCTGCCCATGCGCCTGCCCATGTGCCTGCCCCTGCCCCTGCCCCTGCGCCTGCCCCTGTGCTGCCTGACTGGAAGCCTGCCCTGCTGCTGCTGCTCCTGCGGCTGCTGCTTGTTGCTTGTGAGTCCCCAGGGGAGCTCCAGGTTTCCCTGCCACGTGGTTCATGCCAGCAGAAGCAGCTATGCCCGGAGCACTTGTCCCTACTGCATTGCCCCCTACTGCACTGCTCCCTACTGTCCCCTCTCGCCCTACCATCCCTGCCAGACCTTTCCCTGCAATTGATGCCCCCCCTGCTGGTCCGTGTCCTGGTGCCCCCTGCGCCTTCATTTGCACCTGAACCTGCCCAGAAACCTGCCCGTGCCGAGCCATGATTGGCTGGTTTGCGAAACCTAGCTTTAAGGCCTGGCCTTGCTGCCCCTGTGGCCCAACAGCTGCTGCTGCTGCTGCTGCTGCTGCTGTTGCACCAACAGCACCAGCTGCCAAAGCACTGGTCGAAGCAGCACCTGCAGCTGTAGCAGCAGCACCTGCAGCCGACGCTACAGCAGCTCCCGTACCTGCCACCTGCCCACTGACCACTCTGCTCTTGCCCTCCTCCTCTCCCCCTTCCGAGCCTGGAACAGGTTTGGCACTAGGCGTCGGAGGCCCGGGAACAGGCCCGGGCGCAGGCACTGGTGCAGGTCCGGCAGCAGGTACGGCAGGAGAGGCAGTGGCATGCAACGACATGGGAGAGACCGCAGGGCCTGGAGCAGCTGGTCTTGTCACGGCTGCAGCAGCAGCGGCTGTCGCAGCACCAGCTGCAGCAGCAGCAGCTGAAGCAGTAGCAGCTGTAGCAGCGGCAGTGGCAGTGGCAGCAGAAGGACCAGCGGAAACAGTGGCGTTACCATTCCTGCCAGGCACATGTCCCCCTGCTGCTATTGCATTGGCGCCAGGCTTTAACCCTGTGGCGGGCTCTTTGGGGGCTCCTGCTGCTGCTGTCTGCCTCACTCCCACGGCACCTCCTGCAGCAACCGCAGCAGCTGCGCCAGTTGCAGCACCTGCGCTTGCCCTTAGGCCAGCCTGGGATGGTACTGAGACGTGCTGCTGTTGCTGCTTCTGCTGCAGAAGCTGCTGCTGCTTCTGCTGCAGCTGCTGTTGTTGGTGCTGCTGCTGCTGTTGCTGTTGCTGTTGCTGCTGCTGCTGCTGCTGCTGTTGTGGCTGCTGCTGTTGTTGTTGTTGCTGCTGTTGGTGCTGCTTCTGTTGATGCTGCTGTTGTTGTAAGTGTTGCTGTTGTTGCTGATGCTGCTGCTGTTGCTGCTGTTGTTGCTGCAGTTGCTGCTGCAGCTGCTGTTGTTGTTGTTGCTGTTGCTGCTGCTGGCTCTGTTGCTTCCCTCCTGCAGTAAAATTAGTACCAGCAGCAGCAGCAGGAGTTGCAGCCACACCACCTGCACCTACACCAGCTACCACCTTATCCTTTCCTCCACCCGCTCCAGCAGCTGCACCTGCCCCTGCCCCTGTCCCGCCTGCCCCTGTTACCAAACCTGGCGGCAGGCTCGGAGAAGCCCCAGGCACCGAACCAGCCCCTACGCCTGCCGCCGCCGCCACCGCAGCAGCAGCAGCCGTGGCTGGAGCAGCAGCAGAGTCTGGGGGGGGGGCTGAGAGTGCAGTAGGGAGAGACGAAGGTGGGGGTACGTGAGACCCAGCTGCCCCTGCTGTACTTGCTGCCCCAGCTGCCGCCGCCGCTGCTGCTGCAGCACCAGCAGCTGCCGCTGCACTTGCTGCTGCTCCTGCCGCTGCGGCCGCTTGCAGCCCAAAGGGTGGGGGTGCTCCAGGCATATGCGGTGGCATGCTCATCCCATAAGGGGGCTGCTTCGACGCCGCTACTGCAGCTGCTGCCGCCGCCGCCGCTGCAGCTGCATAGTTGCTGAAATGCGGCGGGTAGAACGGGTGGTGGTGGTGTTGTTGCTGCTGCTGTTGCTGCTGTTGTTGCTGCTGCTGCTGCTGACGTGCCACGTGCCGGTTGAATTCGATGAAGTGTGCAATGTACACATGCAGGGCACAGCGCTTCCAGGGCCGGCGCCCATGCAACTGCTGCTGCGTGGGCAGAGGGAGCAGGCCGGGGGGTGGCTGCGGGAGAGTGTGCTGGGACGGCTGTGTGGTGAGAGGGGCGGGAAGGGGGGTGAGAGGGTGGAGAGAGTAATAAGAGGGAGACGGGGGGAAGGGGAGAGGGCATAGGAACAGGATTACGATAGGGAGGAAGAGGAGCCTCGTATCATAAGCCAAGAAGGAAGCTGATGTGGGGTGGTGATTCAAAGGACGCTTAGATTTTACTATCAGGACCTGGACCAGCCCCAGGGAGGAAGATTACATGGCCAGATTTTTTTTTTTGAGGCACCTCAAAAATAGATTACATGGCCAGAATTTGAGTCGACTCAAAAGCAAGGAAGCTTAGATTCCACGACCAGGACCAGGGACGAAGCTTACATAAGTAGCAGGCCAGAAGACCCCGGCATCACTTTTGAGTCGACTCAAAAGTCACCTCATGAGTCGACTCAAAAGTCAACTCAGGCCAGAAGACCCCGTCATCACCCCTGGCTGCATGGGCCAGCAACGCCCCTCCAGCATGCTGCAGTAAGGATGGGCCCGTGGGCCACTTACAACCAAGAGGGGCTGTGCAGTGCACGACTTACAACCAGGAAAGGCAACCACCCATAGGGACTTACATGGCCAGGCGCGCCTAGAGCAGCAGGCGAGGAGACCCCGTCATCACCCCTGGCTGCATGGGCCAGCGACGCCCCTCCAGCATGCTGCAGTAAGGATGGGCCCGTGTGTGAGAGCGAAGAGGGGAGAGAGGAGGAAAGAGAGGAGGGGAGAGAGGAGGGGAGAGTAGAGGGGAGAGAGGAAGGACCTCCAGCGGAGGGAGGCGGCCAACCAGCAGCAGCTGCAGCAGCCGCTGCTGCAGCCGCAGCTTGGGGAAAAAAGCCTATACCAGGAATCGGCCACCCTCCCAACCCTAAAGGCAGGGGCATGGATGCAGCAGCAGCTGCTGCTGCTGCCGCCGCCGCCGCTGCTGCTGCCGCCCCGTGGGGTTGTGCCCCTGAAGGGGGCATCCCAGGGGGGTTGTGGTGCATGGGCGCAAGGTGGGGGGGCGGAGGGGGGAAGCCTGCAGGCATTATGGGCACTGGGGGAGCTCCAGCGCGGGAAGGTGCCCCCGGGGGGTGTGAGATGGCTGAGCCTTGCCCGGCTGCTGCTGCTGATCCTCCTCCTCCTCCTCCTCCTCCTGCCGCCGCCGCCGCCGCCGCCGCCGCAGCTGCTGCTGCTGCATGTGCTGCTGCTTCTGGAGTGGACGCGTTTGGAGGCCCCCCTACTGCTGCTGCAGCAGCAGCTGAGCCCCCTGCTGCGCCCGCCACCCCTCCTAGCCCTACAGCCCCTGGTGACATAGGCCCGATCACAGGCGAAGAACCAGCAGTTCGCTCCCTAGAACCAGCCTTAGCGTCTGCCTTCGCCCCTCTTGCCCCCCCTCGTTGGCTGCCGGACCGAGACAGGCCTTCCTTCCTCTCCTCCCTCCCGTCTTCCGCTCTACTCTGCACCTCCTGCTCTCTCCCTCCTCTCCCCCTCTCCCTCCCCTTCTCCCCCTTCCCCTTCTCCTCCTTCTCCCTCCCCTTCCCCCGCCCCCCCTCCTTCCGCCCATCTCTCTCCCTCGCCTCCTTCTCCCTCCCCCTCTCCGCCTCAGCATTCAGCAACATCAGATCAAAACCCTTCCTAGACCCTCCCCCCTCGTCGCCTTTACTAAACCCAGCAGCCTTTCTGAGCCTCGCATCCATACTCTCCTCCTCCCCTCTCCCTCCCGCCCCTTCCTTTGAAGCATCACCTCCTACTAAGCCCCCTAGTCCTCCTGCTAAGTACTTATGCCCCGCGCCTGCCGCTGCTGGTGGCTGCAAGGGTAACACCGAGAGGAGGGAGGGAAACACGGAGTGAAAGGAGGGGGAGACGGGGGAGGGTGTGGGGGGGGGGGGGGGGGGATGAGAGAAGGGAAGGAGGAGGGACAAGAGTAAGAGTGACGGAGAAGTAATAGTAGCGAGGAACAGCAATGGATGACAGAGAGGAGGGGGGGGGGGGGGGGGGGGGGGGGGGGGGCTGAAACAGTGGGATAGCAGACAAAGTCGAGCAAGGCTGGAGGGGTTGAGTCAGGGGCGGTTGGGGAGGGTGGGAGAATCTCAACAGGCACGAGAGAGAGGGGGAGGCGCTAACCAGACAATTTTTGAGGCGCCTCAAAAGGCGGTTGGGGAGGGTGGGAGAATCTCAACAGGCATGAGAGAGAGGGGGAGGCGCTAACCCGACAATTTTTGAGGCGCCTCAAAAGGCGGTTGGGGAGGGTGGGAGAATCTCAACAGGCATGAGAGAGAGGGGGAGGCGCTAACCAGACAATTTTTGAGGCGCCTCAAAAGGCGGTTGGGGGGGGTGGGAGAATCTCAACAGGCATGAGAGAGAGGGGGAGGCGCTAACCAGACAATTTTTGAGGCGCCTCAAAAGGCGGTTGGGGAGGGTGGGAGAATCTCAACAGGCATGAGAGAGAGGGGGAGGCGCTAACCAGACAATTTTTGAGGCGCCTCAAAAGGCGGTTGGGGAGGGTGGGAGAATCTCAACAGGCATGAGAGAGAGGGGGAGGCGCTAACCAGACAATTTTTGAGGCGCCTCAAAAGGCGGTTGGGGAGGGTGGGAGAATCTCAACAGGCATGAGAGAGAGGGGGAGGCGCTAACCAGACAATTTTTGAGGCGCCTCAAAAGGCGGTTGGGGAGGGTGGGAGAATCTCAACAGGCATGAGAGAGAGGGGGGGCGCTAACCAGACAATTTTTGAGGCGCCTCAAAGGGCGGTTGGGGAGGGTGGGAGAATCTCAACAGGCATGAGAGAGAGGGGGAGGCGCTAACCAGACAATTTTTGAGGCGCCTCAAAAGGCGGTTGGGGAGGGTGGGAGAATCTCAACAGGCATGAGAGAGAGGGGGAGGCGCTAACCAGACATGCCACCCACCATGTCAGGCTGTAGACACTCTCAATTTTGCAGGGTGTTTTTGAGAACTCTCAAAAACAGCCTGCAAAAACACCCTGCCACACTCTCACCCTGCCACACTCTCACCCTGCCACACTCTCACCCTGCCACACTCTCACCCTGTCACACTCTCACCGTGCCACACTCTCACCGTGCCACACACTCACCCTGCCACACTCTCACCCTGCCACACACTCACCCTGCCACACACTCACCGTGCCACACACTCACCGTGCCACACACTCACCCTGCCACACACTCACCCTGCCACACACTCACCCTGCCACACACTCACCCTGCCACACACTCACCGTGCCACACACTCACCGTGCCACACACTCACCGTGCCACACACTCACCGTGCCACACACTCACCGTGCCACACACTCACCCTGCCACACTCTCACCGTGCCACACACTCACCCTGCCACACACTCACCCTGCCACACACTCACCCTGCCACACACTCACCCTGCCACACACTCACCCTGCCACACCTCACGATGCACACTAGCCTCTCACCGTGCCACGCACTCACCATGCCACGCTGCACATGGGCCTTGGACTCTCCTTCGCCTGTCTCCTCCTCGTCCACCGCTCCCAACCGCTCTGAGCTGGGCACCAGCAGAGACAGGCCGTTGCCAGGGAGGGACTGCAGGAAGGTACAATGGGAAGGGGGGGGTGGGGGGAGGGGTGGGTTTTGAGTGCGAGGAAAGAAGGCACACGTGGCATGAGAGCATACGTGGCATGAGAGCACACGTGCCATGAGGGCACGTGGCATGAGAGCACACGTGGCATGAGAGCACACATGGCATGCGAGCACACACACATACCACTTTGAGGCGCCTCAAAACAGCACACACGCACCATGAGGTCGATTTCTAGCTTGTTGGAGCGCAGAGACTGTGGCGGCCACTGGTCCTTGCCGTCTGCACTGGCGGGCGTGGCTGTAGGCGGTCCCATGCGAAGCCTGGATGAATTTGGGGGGGGGGGGGGGGGAGAGAGAGGTGAATGCGAAGGAGGGAGGAGTTAGTCACGAAACGGCAGCACTTGTTGGAGTGCAGAGAGACTGCGGCGGCCACGGGTCCTTGCTGTCTGTAGTGTGTGGCAGGTGAGGCAGGAGGAGGCCCCATGAGAAGCCTGGATGAAGGGCAGGACAAGAGGTGGACGGGGGATGAGTGAGGAGAGTGCAGCACTTGTTGCAGGGCAGAGACTGACTGACTGAGGAGGGCTATGAGGAGGCCCTACTGGTCCTTGCTATCTATAGTAAGATAAAGAGGCAGGCGTAGTACCTGAGTCCTTGCTATCTATAGTAAGATAAAGAGGCAGGCGTAGTACCTGAGTCCTTGCTATCTATAGTAAGATAAAGAGGCAGGCGTAGTACCTGAGTCCTTGCTATCTATAGTAAGGTAAAGAGGCAGGCGTAGTACCAGAAGGAGGCTCCATTCGAAGCCCTGTACCTGAGCCCTGAAACCCTAAATCTGAGCCCCAAAACCCTCAACCTTAGCACCGAAACCCGGAACCTTAGCCCCGAAACCCTAACGCTCCTGCATGAGTGGTGGAGAGAGAATATGGGAGCAAGGGGAGTCTTCAAGTGAAAAAACAGCTATAAATGCTGTTCCCATACTGCTGTCTAAGCGTGCCAGTGTAAGAAAAATGGGGGACATGGCAATATCTCACCTTGTCTGCTGATCCGCTCCTCCCTCCCCTCCCACACCCTGGCCCCCTTTCTCCGCCCCCTGCCCCCCTGGCGCCAGTGCTGCGGCTGTGAGGGGAGAGGAGAAGAGCCGTGGGGGGCCAGTAGAGGTGGCATGGGCAGCAGAGAGGGCTTGGGCAGATGGGCCGAGGGATGGACTTCCGCCAGCGTGCAGAGCATAGGAGGGGAGTGAGCCGTGGAAAGCTTGGCCTGCTGCTGCTGCTACTGCTGCTGTGGGGGGAAGCCCGGGACTTGCCACCCCCAGAGAGCCCCCAGGCGCAATATTGCCAGAAGCAGTGGCAACTGCAGAAGCAGGAGGAGCAGGGGGGCCGGAAGGAGCAGAGGGAGCAACACGGGCGGCAGAAGAGGCTGCCCTAGCCGCAGCAAGCACACTCGACAGATTCGGCGGCGCCGAACCAGGGGTCGTTGCCATGGGACCGGCCGTTCCAGCCACCAAACCTGGTGAGCTAGCGACCGAACCTGGCGTGGCGGTGGCTCGGAGGAGCGCCACTGGTGACGTGGCAGGGCGAGTGGTGCCGGAGTGCGCGCCACCTCGAGCTGAGCTGGCAGCGCCAAGAAGATTCTCTAGAGTAAGCGGCCGGCCCGCTTGCCGTTGATCCTTGCCTGCACCAGGAACAGCAGCAGTGCTCCCTACCCCCAACCCCCCTGCGCCTGCTCCTGCTCCTGCTCCCCCTCCTCCCCCTACTCCTGCTCCTGCTCCCGCTCCCGCTCCCGCTCCTGCAGCAGCACCAGGAGCAGCAGCGCTCTGGGCGGGAATAGGGAGGAGCATGCGGCCTTGCCCCATGGAGCCAAGCCCAGCCGCTTGGGGGGGGAGAACCGGGGCAGCAGAGGGCATGGTGAGATGCACAACTCCCCCTGCCATCGCCCCGGGGTTCGAAACCCCTGCTGAAGGAGCAACAGGCCTGGGAGCAAGCGCCCTAGGGGCGATGCTGAGAAGACCAGTGGTGCCTGCCCCAGAACCACCTACCCCAGAAGCACCTGCGCTAGAACCAGTTGAGGGGGTGATTGGATGGGACGGGCGTAGGGGGGGGGGGGCACCTGCAGGGGCAGCAGGGCCGGGAGATGGCAGCGGTGATGCGATGTGGAGCAAGGGCTGTGCGGCCTGCGTCACTCCCTGGGCGTGTGCCTGTGTCTGTGTCTGTGTGCGTTGCGGGCCAAGCTGATGATAAGGCATGGATGACTGCTGCTGCTGCTGCTGTGGCTGTGGCTGTGGCTGTGGCTGTTGGTGCTGCTGTTGCTGCTGTTGCAGCTGCTGTTGCTGCTGCTGTTGCTGCTGTAGCTGCTGCTGTTGCTGCTGTTGCTGCTGCTGTTGCTGCTGCTGTTGTTGCTGCTGCTGCTGTTGTTGCTGCTGCTGCTGCTGCTGCTGCTGCTGCTGTGCCATATGCTGCTGCTGCTGCTGCTGCTGCTGCTGCTGCGCCATATGCTGTTGATGCTGAACAGCCTGCTGCTGCTGCTGGGGATGGTGTTGGGGCTGGTGTTGAAACTGCTGGTGCTGAAGAAACTGCTGCTGCTGCTGCTGCTGCTGCTGCTGCTGCTGCTGCTGCTGCTGCTCCAGAGTTGTAGGGGGGCGTGGCTGAAGCCGAAGATGCTTCGGTGCACCCTGCTGCTGCTGCTGCTGCTGCTGCTGTTGTGGCTGCTGCTGCTGTTGTTGCTGCTGCTGCTGCTGTTGTGGCTGCTGTTGCTGCTGCTGTTGTTGTTGTTGCTGCTGCTGCTGTTGTTGTTGTTGCTGCTGCTGCTGCCGTTGCGGTTGCTGTTGCAATTGCTGAAGCTGCTGTTGTTGATTCTGTTGTTGCATGTGCTGCTGCTGTTGTTGTTGCTGTTGCTGTTGCTGCTGCTGCTGCTGCTGTTGTTGTTGCATCTGCTGCTGTTGCTGCTGCTGCTGCTGCTGCTGCTGCATCTGCTGCTGCTGCTGCTGCTGCCATTGTTGCATTTGCTGCTGCTGCTGCTGCTGTGGTGACGGCTGCCCCGTAGGCTGCAGTTGCAACTGAAGCTGCAGTTGTGGCTTCTGCTGCTGCGGTTGCTGCTGCTGCTGCTGTTGATGTGGCTGCTGCTGTTGCTGCTGCTGTTGATGTGGCTGCTGCTGTTGCTGCTGCTGCTGCAACTGCAACAAGTGTTGTTGCTGATACTGCTGCTGCTGTTGTGTTTGCCCCATGGGGGATGGCAACCCCTTAGCCCCCCCCCCCTGCTGTGGCGGCATTAGGTGCAGCTGCAGTGACGACTGCTGCTGCTGGTATTGACCCTGCTGGTCCAGCCCCTTGTTCTGCTGCAGGTGCAGCAGACTCTGCTGCCCTATCATTGCCTGACCTGTCATCTGCTGACCTGTCACCTGCTGACCTGCCATCTGCTGACCTGCCATCTGTTGACCTGCCATGTGCTGACCTGTCATTTGCTGACCTGGCTGCTGCAAAAGCGGCCGTGCTTGCAGCAACTGCGGTGCCTGTTGCTGCTGCTGTTGGTGCTGCCGTGGCTGTTGCTGATGCTGTTGCTGCTGCTGCTGCTGAGCAAGAGGCACATGTTGAAAGCTTATCCCAGGATGCTGCTGCGGCAGCTGCTGCTGTTGCTGCTTTGGTGACTGCTGCTCCTGTTGCTGCTGCTGCTGCTGCTGCAGTTGCAGCTGCTGCTGCGGGTGCTGCAACAGCGGCTGCCCCATCAACTGCCCTGGACCAACTGGCACCAGCTCTGGCAATTTCTGCATTCCTCCCACCATGCCCCCGCTGGCTACCCCTGCTGCCCCTCCCGCCATACCCCCACCACAACCCACCCCCCCTGTTACGCCAGCAGCGGAGGGAGGGGCGGAAGGGGGGTGCATGGGGCCAGCAGCAGCAGCCAGGGCGGCAGCAGCAGGCGCGCGGAGAGCAGCAGAGGAGGCAGGCCCGTGCTTGGCCTGCCTGGAGCTGGCGTCTGCAGGGCAAGGGGCGGGGAGGGGGGTCGTGGGAGCAGTGGGAATGTAATGTGAGTAAGTTTTGAGGCGCCTCAAACAAAGCAAGCCCGTGCTTGAGCTGGTGCTGGCGTCTGCAGGGCAAGGGGCGGAGAGGGGGGTTGTGGAGGCAGTGGGAATGTATTGTGAGTGAGTGAGTATGGGGACAGGGGGATTGGAACTTGGAAGGGAGACACAGGGAGAGAAATTTTTAAGCGCCTCAAAAATCGACTCATCACAGTGGGAATGTGTCATGAGTGGGTGAGTATGGGGACAGGGGAATTGGAACTTGAAAGGGAGACACAGGGAGAGAAGAGGGTGGAGAAGAGGCGTATCGTCCATCATAGCACTGCCACTGGGCCCCATCACATATCATGGCACGAATACTCACGCCCTTCAAAAAGGCGAAGGGGCAGGGGGGGGGGGGGGGGGGGGGGGAGGACCGCACACGCACTCTCTCAAAGAGCAGGGGAGGGGGGGAAGAAGGGAGTGGGGGTGACCTCACACGCACTCTCTCAAGGAAGGGGGGGGGGGGGGGGACGAACACGCACTCTCTCAAACGGACCTGCATGGCCGTGCGCAGCAGCAGCAGCAATCTGGTGCTGGCTCACTTTCTCCAACACACTCTGCCTCCCCCCAACCGCCCCTGCCCCCACTCCCCCCCCACCAGCAGACCTCCCAACCCCTTCCCCTGCTGCTCCCCCCATTCCCGCCCCAGCTCCCCCCGCCACTCCCCCATACTGCTCCCGCCCATCCGCCTCACTCCCGCCACACACCAGCAACCGGGACACATCGCCAGCAGCCCCTGCGGTCTGCCCCCCTGCCCCCACCCCCATCCCCGCCCCAGCTGCTGCTGCAATGGGGAACCCTAAAGGCGGAGCGGGAACAGCGTGAGGAGAGGCTATGGGGGTGCCAGGAACAGCAGGTGATGCTGCTGCACCTGCACCAGCAGCACCCCCAACACCCGCAGCACCTGCAGCACCCGCAGCACCCGCAGCGGCTGCGGCAACAGCAGAGGAAAACGGCCCCTGAGCGTCTCTGCCTGGAGCCTGGCCAGGCAGAAGAGGAAGCACGTGCCCCATGGGGCCTAGCCCTGCAGGTGGAGTTGAGGGCGCACTGCCTGCCTTCTCTCCTGCTGCTGCTCCTCCTCCTCCCCCCCCTCCTCCTGCCGCTGCTGCTGCTGGTGCTAGTGCTGGTGCACCTGGTGCTGAGGTTGGTGCGGATCCTTTGGTGGACCCCTCCCCCCCGGTTTGACCTCCTGCTGCTGCTGCTGCTGCTGCTGCCCCTCTCCGCTTCTTGAGGGGTGCTGTGAAAAAGGGGAGGCGGGAAGGGGGGTTGCATAGTACGGCCTTAGTTGCACATACTGCAGGACACAGGGTGCAAATTGAAAAATAAGGGCGCAGGGCAGTCTGCATCCCCTGCAGACCACAGAGCTCGTTGATCCAACGAGAACGACAATCAGCTAGAACCGCAACCTGGCAGCCACAAACTGAAGCAATCAGCTTTTGAGTCGACTCAAAAGTCGCTTCAACGAGAACGACAATCAGCTAGAACCGTAATCTGGCAGCCACAAACTGAAGGAATCACAAGCACGAGCACTCACAAGCATGAGCACTCACAAGCATGAGCACTCACAAGCATGAGCACTCACAAGCATGAGCACTCACAAGCACGAGCACTCACAAGCATGAGCACTCACAAGCATGAGCACTCACAAGCACGAGCACTCACGAAAACAGGCACTTTGACATGAAAAAAACTCACCACCGGACCCTGCTGCTTTCGCCCCTCGCTTCCTCGACTCCTCCTTCTTAGGATCCCCCCCTTCGCTACTTTAGGGCCTCTCAACAATAGACGCCTCACAATAAGAAGCACAAGAACTCACCATCGGACCCTGCTGCTGCTTTCGCCCCTCGCTTCCTCGACTCCTCCTTCTTAGAAACCCCTCCTTGTTTCCGCCCGCCCTCACCCCCTGATGCACCCGCCCCCTCCTCCCTCTTCCCCCCACCTTCCCCCCGCTTTCTAATCACACCCGCTTGCTGTGCAGCCGCACCCTCCCCTACAGTCACACCATTGGCAACAGCAGCATTACTGGCAGCCGCAGCAGCAGCCGCAGCAGCGCCATCAGCAGCAGTAGCGCCATCAGTCCCTCCGTCTTCAGGCTCGTTGGATGCGAAGGCGAGGAGGTTGGCAAAGTCAAAAAGCGCCTCTGCTACCTCTGCCTCCTGTGCTGACATTGACGTAGGCGCGGCAGGCCGCCCACCAGGCCCAACCGCCCCTGCTGCTGCTCCTGCTGCTGCTGCTGCAGTTGCTGTGCCTGGGGCACCTTTCCCCCTGCCTGCAGCGGGCAAAGGGGGCGTTGCTCCTGCGGCTGCTGCTGCTGCTGCCGCTGCTTTGGCCTGATAGAAGAGGGGAGAGCAGAGATACGAGGAGAAGATGTGATAAGAGTAAAGGCCGGGAGGGCAAAGCGGACAGCCAGGACCAAGCAAGAGTTGAGGGCGGGCAACAGCAAGAGGGTGCGGAATGTAGAGGGCATGGAATGTAAAAGGAAGGAAGCACTACAGGAAGTGAAAACGCTGGCAGCTAGCTCACCTTTGCTGCGCGCCCCTTGACCTTTTCGCCTGCCCCGGCCTGCCCAGCCCCACCTCCCCTTCCTCCCTCTCCCCGACCTCCCCTTACCCCCCTTCCCCCTCTGCCTCCGCCCTCCCCTCCCTCCCCCTTGTTCCCCTCCCCCCGCCTCTGGAGCCAGCTCCCCCTGCGCCCCGCCCCCCGCCCCTACTCCTTCCCCCTGACGCTGCAACAGGCGCCGCAGCAGTTGCTGCTGCAGCGGGAAATACCGCACCAGCGGCCACTGCAGCTGCTGCTGCTGCACCTGCAGAAGCAGAAGCAGCAGCAGCAGCAGCACCAGCTGCCGCAGTACTACTAGTAGCGCCAACGCCACCACCTAATGCCGGCAAAGCACCAGCCCCATTACCTTCCTCTATAACGCCCCCAATTCCCACCCTGCCTCCGTCTCCTCCTCCCCCTGCCCCAGCAGCCATACTTGTCACCCCACCACCCTCCCCTCCTCCCCCCCCTCCTCCTCCTCCTCCTCCTCCTCTTCCTGCTCCTCGCACTCCTCGTCCTAGCCCTCTCGCTCCCCTCCCTCTCCCTGCTACCGCTCCACCCCCCTCCCCATGCCCAGCACCTCCTTTTCCAAAAGCTTTACTTTCACCAGGCTCCGCTGCGGCGTTCCCCTGGGCTGAAAGCCAGCCCACATGCCCCACACCACCAGAGGTACCCCCACCCGTGATGCCACCCGCCCCAGCAGCACCCGTGATGGCCCCAGCAGCCGCATCTGCTGCTGCTGCAGGGGCAGCAGCATCTGTGCTTGGAAAGTTAGGCCCCGCAGTTTCTACTGCTGCGTGACTGCTGCTACTAGCAAAACCAGACCCCATTTCTGCTGCACCAGACGCACTAGCGTCAGCAACAGGAGCAGCAGGAGCAGCGGCAGGAGGAGGAAACGGCAGAGTGAAGGGTCTGCTGTGAGATGCCTCCGGGATCCCCCCCAGCCGGTGCTTCATATCAGCGGCTTCGGCTCGCGCTTGCGCTGCCGCTGCAGATCTCTGGTACAGGAAAACGGGGGGGGGAGGGGGGGGGGGGGAAGGAATAAGCAAGGAAAGAAAGCAGCAATTATGAAGGAGGTTTGTGGCAACTCAATGGGCACGAGATGAGATGAGAGAGTGGAGACAGAAAGGGAGTCGAGAAGAGAGAGTGAGAAATAGCAAAGGGCCACCAACCTCGTTCTTCCTTGGCTTGGACCGCGCTGCTCGCACCTCCCCCTCCACCATCCCCCCCCCCAGAGGAGCACCAGCAGCACCAGAGGAATGCGGCACAGAAGCACCCCCCCTCCCCCTGCTGCCACCCCTGGCCCCTCCATCGCCTGTACCCCTCCTTGCCTCAGATCCCCCCCAAGGTTCCCTCCCTCGTTGTCCCCAGCACGGTCTGCTGCCAGAGCATGACCTGCTATCGCCGCCCCGTGCCCCCCAGCGCGCCCTGTTTGGCCGCCCTGAGTCGCCAAGTGGGGAGGCATGCCTGGCATAGTATGAGGGGGGGCGGACACAACATTCCCGTGCCCATGCCCGTGCCCATGCCCATGCCCGTGCTTAAAATGCAATGAGGCGAGATCCGCAGCCTGCTGCTGCTGCTGCTGCTGCTGCGCCTGCCCCTGCCCCTGGGGCGGTTGGTGAAGAGAAGGGGAAGAGAACGAGGGGATTCTGAGTCCCGTGCCTGCGGCCTGGTTCGGCCCTGGCTGCAGCATACTCTTTCCTGGGTCCTGGAATGGGAAACCCTGGCTCGGCAGCTCCAGCTGTTCCGAACCAGGCCCGGCTGCAGGCCCGGCAGCCCGACCCTGGCTTGCTGGCGAGTCGTGCTTGTGCCTGCTGCCCCTCTTGCCCGTCTCATGCTGCCGCACGTGCAGCAGCTGGGGCTCATGCGCCTCCTTCTCCCCCCTCACCTCCTTTTCCCCTCGCTGGTTATGCTCCTTATGCTCCTTATGTTCCTTGTGCTCCTTATGCTCCCTGCCCACCCTCGGCATCCCATCCCGCCCCTCCTTGGCTCCTCTTCTCTTCCCCACAGGATGCCTTAGCTCTCTCTTCGGAACCGCCGGCCCCCCACTCGCAGCTTCCGCTACCTCGTGCCCTGGCTGACCCCCCTCCCCTCTCTCCTTCGCAAACTCAAGTGCTTGGTCTCCTTCACTCACCCTCTTTCTGCCTTCCTCAAGCCGCTCCTGCTGCTCCAAGCTGTTTCCACTCCCACTCCCCAGATTCAACCCGCCCGGCCAGGTTTCAATACCCGCGCCTCTCATTGCTGAATCCAGCCAACCAACCGCTGCCGTTCCTGCTACAGCGGAGCCCCCCCCAGCAGATCCACCAGAACCAGTGGCAGCACTCGCTGCTGCAGCAGCAGCTGAAGTTTTTCTCTTGCGAGAGTGAGAACCTTCCCCGAATCCAGCCTTCCTCTGATTGCCCAGCGCCGTAGCAGCCTCCCCCTTATGCTCCCTCTCGCCGCTTGCCTCCCCCTCTTCTCCTTCCTCGTCCCTACCTCCCCAGTCAATCCCCCCCTGCCTTTCTTCCCGTCCCATCTCCTCTCCCTCCGCCCTTCTCTCCCCCATTGCACCAGCAACAACAGTTGACGAGAAGACTGGAGGGGATCGAGAGGCCATGGGTGGTGGTGGTGAGAGCGCATTTCCCTCCAGCCTACGCTCCCTCTCCTCCCGTCTCTCCCTCCCGCGCTCGTCCTTCCGCTCCTCCTTCCTCTCCCTCTCTCTGTCCCTCTCCCACGCGCCAGGAGAAGGCGAGGCGTCTTCATGCGAAGAAGCAGCGTCCCAACGGGGCGTCACGTCCAAGTGATGGGGCTCGGAGGACCGCTTCACCTTGGCTATAGTGTAAAGGGGAGGGAGAGGGGAGAGGAAGGGGGAGAACAAATTATTAGGCCTCTACATGCGAAGCAGCATCCCAACGAGGCGTCACGCCCAAGTGATGGGGCTCGGAGGACCGCTTCACCTTGGCTGTATCGTAAAAGGGGAGGAAGCGGGGAGAGGAAGGGGGAGAGCAACATATTAGGCCTCTTCATGCGAAGAAGCAGCGTCCCAACGGGGCATCACGTCCAAGTGTTGGGGCTCAGAGGACCGTTTCACCTTGGCTGTAGTGTGCGGGGTTGCTGGGGAGAAGAGCGGGAAAGAGGGGGGAAGAGACAAGCTTTAAAAGATAAGCATTACACATGGAGCACCAAGGTCGCGTCATGCGAAGCAGCATCCCAACAGGGCGTCACGTCCAGGAGTGCAGCATCCCACCAGACTCCGCTGTATTCCGCGTTCATGTGGTGGCGCTCGAACAACCGCGGATGGCCCGCTGCAGAATACAGCGGAGGGAGAGGGGAGAGGTAGACAAAGGAGGAGGAGGAGAAGCGGTAGAGCGTGACGAGAGAATGCCAAAGGTGAGACGGTATGGCACAAGAAGCCGGGTGATGCAGCATGGCAAACGAAACGGGGGGTGATACCACAGCATCACACCATCACCGTAGGCGCTGCCCCTAGAAGGTGTGCCACGTCCATGCAGTGAGGCCACGGCAAACGGGTGGTACACAGAGCGGCCAATGGGATGAACAGGAACAAGAAAGTACTACGAAGAAGACGAGAGGGAACACAAGGAGCACGCGAGCGGGGATGGCGGCGGTGAGGCACACGTGGGCCAGAGAGCAGCAGTGCGTCGCGGTAAAGGAGGGCGAAGAACACGAATCCACGTCACACTCGTGAAAGCGACGGTTCTTACCAGTGCGTGTGCGACGAGGCACGGCTGTGAGAGTGACCGGGCCGTTCTCATCCATCGACTGCACCAACGAGACACGGATAGGAAGGAAATGAGAGGAACGGGGAACAGGGGAGGGGAAAGGGCGGAAAAACGGGAGGATGGTGTGTGTGAGTGTGAGTAATGGGAGCGGTGCAAGGGAGAAACGAGGCCGCAGAAACGGCCCTGAGAAGAGGAAGGGGAGTGGGTAGCGGAAAGGATGCGGAAATGACAAAAAACGGTACTGAGCGTACGTCCCAAAACGGGACGGGGAAGCAGCAGTAGGTGAAGGGAGAGATCACGTCGCGTCACCAGCGCCTTCAGGAGTCGTCTTCAAACACTCTTAGAAACCGCTCTCCGGACGCCCTGGGTTCACCGACCCCAAGCAGAGAATTCCCTCTCCTTTACCGCTGAGCGTACCTCGAGCTTTGCCCCTGGAAGGCGGAACTTCGGCGGACGCCTGGATCCTACGGGGGAGCCCTCCCGCGCGTCCCCGGGCGACGGGGAATCGCCGTGCGCGCCAAGCCCCGCGCCCTCCCCTCCCCCCGCGCCAGCGCCTGGTGGCGGAGTGGCATCCTCGTCTTCGTCCGCTTGCGGGGAGAACGGGGAAACAGCCTCGGACGCACTCCGCTTGCGCTTAGTTTTCGAGCCGTTAGATCCCGCCGAGGCTACCCTCGGCTTGTCTCGCTTCCGGCTATTAGATCCCGTGGCGTGGTACGCGTTAGAACCAGCTCCTGTATTATTCCCGCTGCCAATGTCGACGGAGTATCGACTGGATCCTTCGACACCAGCACTTGTGTCACCTCTTGCGCTTCCTCCTCCTCTTGAGCCGTGGTTATCGAGGCCAGGCCCGTCAGGTGTGGAATGTCCGGCATCTGTCCGTGGGTCACGAGAAATGGTGAAAAAGGGACAAAGTTCTAAAAGAGCTCAAAAAAGACGGATCGTAAGAAACGCTTTAAAGTTTCATCCAATATACTCCTTCTATCGCGAAAAAGGCCCCTCGAAAGAAGGTTCTCAGGCGCCGACCGGAGCTTGCTAGTTGACGCGGAAAATCCAGTTTCTTCTATCGTGGAAATCTTTAAAAAACGGTAGGAAACTAGCGAAGCAGCTAATACGAGCGAAAGAGGCTCCTAGCGTTCAAAGCCTGGCAACTACAGAAGATAGGTTAACTTCATCCGATCTACGAAACCGTGACATTATCGATGGAAAATCGGCGGAGAATGATGATCCAAATCTCTGCTCTGGGATAACGGCATTAACGCTCAATCCCAGAGAACGTAAGCTGGTACGTAACAACTCCTCCGTTCTTCAGATCGCTAACGTAGTCAGGAAGTATGCTACTAAAGCGGACCGAGGGAAGAAAATGCTGCCTTTTGCAGCGACGAAGCGGACACGACAGCCGAGCAAAACTGGAGGCTAAAACTATCGGCGTTTCATCACGTCAGTCACACTCCAGGTTCAACGGCTCGACAACTGACCGGTTCCAGCTGACTATTCTTGCCCTATAACAGAAATCGACGGTAAAAACGTGCTGGGTATTTCTCGAATTAAAACAGGGGATAACGTACTGACAAGAGCACAAAAGTCGTCATTTCTCGCAGAAAAGTATGTTATCGTAACCAATGGCGCAAATACTGACCACGAAGCTCAGAGAGAACTAACCGAATCTAGCGACTATAAGACAGAAAGGACGACGTCGTTCGCACGTGCTAATTAACCTACGCGAATCATGACTTCCAACTTGTTCAGGAAACGTCAGATCCACGCCATTAACTGTCTGAGCTTTAGCGAGGTAGAAGCGGGCTCGATATCTAAACGACTATAGGAAAAGACCACACATGGTCAGACTATATCTATCTTACCTTGAGTCTCTTTTGGCCCAACGGAGCTCCGCGACCGACGCTGGGTGGGAGTAGTCACGGGACCCTTATCACCTTTCCTTGCTTCTCTCGTCCTGTCCATCGTCTCAGATAACGACGATGATTTTTTTTACTTTACCCAAACCAACAACGGAATTTACGCCTCTCGCACAATCCGGCCTACCGAACTCTCCACGCCTAACGGCGTATCTAGCAAACCTGGAACGAGATTCTAGCCGTTACGCCGGCCAGCTCTTACTAATTTGCTATCAGCGTCTGCGTCTAGGCCAATTTCGGCCTCTGTGACAGGACTGGCATTGCAACCACCACCCATCGCAGAAACAGGCTGCACTAGAACAAGTGATCCGAAGGAAAGCAAATCTCCTATCAAAACCTCTCCGTCACCTCGCTTTCTCCTGGGCCCGCCAGCCAGCAGAACTCTGGTGATTCAGGAACCACAGACAGCAGCTTTTTAGGAGGGGAAGGAAGGAAAAGCAAGGAGAAGCGAGGAGAGAGAGGAAAGAGGGACGAGGGAAACTTGCAGAAAGCAAGCAGTTGTTGGTGGTTCACTTCTCGCCAATCAGGAGCGAGGTTATCAAGCGAACCCCTGATTGGCCCGACGTATTTATCCTGGCTCGCAATACTCGCCGCACAGGTGGTTCGGAAGTCACAGGCGCGGATTTGAGGGGAAGACGAAGTGAAAGATGCGGGAAAGCTTGTGGTCGGGCAGGATAACCAGGCGCTAGCTCTTCCGGACCAGGCCAGTCGAGCCTGTTCGTTTTGGGGTTTGCTGTGCGAGCCCTCTACCTCTCCCGATTGGTGTCACCCTTGGTGTTATTCAAAACTCCCCGAAGCTGCTGACGGGGGTATCATAACCTGCTGCGAGGTACGGCCGAGCCAGACCATACCTCCAGCCTTTGTGGGGTTTCCTGCAGATGGGTTGCGAGGCGTCAAGTGCACACTGCCACGTGGTGTGGGCCTGACTGGTTGCTGGTTCAAAAGGGTGATCCGAAGTTCCCAGCTCCAGTGCGAGGTGCGGGTATGACATGGCAATGGAATGGGGGACGACCCCTGATTGGCTGACCTGTCGTCACTAGGGGAATCTGTGCAACACTGGCCCCATGAAATGCGGTCATGGTGGTTTCAGCAAAATGGACCAACGAACTCGATCAGGCAATTCTCGACCGAACCAGCACTTCAAGCACAAAGCACACAAAACCCTCCTGTCGAAAGCAGTATGGAATTCAGATCGAAGGTCGTCGACAACCACGATGGCTCGGTTCGGGCTGAGCCCAAACCACCGGAGCCCAGCTCTCGTTGGTTGAGGCAGCCTGGTTTGGACTCGTTCATCCAACCAGAGCTGGAACCGAACCAGCGCGTAAGTGCTGAGACGAGAACCACGTCATTTGCGTCTCGAAACTGTGACAAGGCAGGATGTTGGTGGCATATGATTGGCTAACATCCTAGATTATGTCGGTCGGCTTTCGACGCTGATGTGTCTGAGGGAAAACCCACCAAAATCCACACTGCTGAGCCGTTCGATTAACATCCACTTGCGGGTCGGAAAACGTTTCCCGCTGCCCGTTCAGAGCCGTCAACAAATCGTTTATAAGGGTTTGGTTGCCACGTCAGGGCTCAGCATGGAATACATGGACTGCCCAAGACCTTCAGTTCGGTAGCAACCCTTGAGCAATGCTCGCTTTTCGTTATTGGATGCCTTGCCTTCAAACCTATCAGTTTGAGGTGGTACATCCACTAATCGTATAATGAAGCATCCATAACCTTCCATTCCCAAATGCATTCACCTCAATTTAATCAGCTTCCATTGCGAGTCCCGGCCTGCTTCATTCATTTCCACCATTGTGGTCATACACAGTTGATGTGGAAACCATGAACTCCGAAGTTTCCTATGTTTCCTACTCTACATTGTGCAATTCAATCTCAGTACCTATTTTCCACCTGCAAGCAACCAAGCTTACCAAAGCTCCACCTGCAGGTGCAGCCCACAAACAAGATGCGGTAACACACGTTACAATTGCTGGCAAGGTGTCTACATAAAGCAGAAAACAAGGCCCTACACAGGTGGATAAAAAACTTATGGGTCCACGAATTTATGGGGGGGTAACACATGTTAACTTGCAGCCTCTGCCTGTAACAGGCAGTAACCAAGGTCCTATACAGGCGGATAAGGCACTTGTGGATCCACAAATTTTTCGTGCACGAAGGAGAGGTGGTAACACGTGTTACAACTGGAGGCAGGCTCTGCCTGGAACAGGCGGTAACCGAGGTCCTCTAGAGCAAACATAACTTCCGTTGTGCGGCCCACATGGTGCGTCCTGATGGGGAGGATGTGTGGGGAGAGAGGATCAGCAGATGATGAGTGATAAGGTGGTAACATATGTTACAAGGCAGGTTCTGCCTAGAACAGGTGGTAACCGAGGTCCTCTAGAGCAAACATGACTTGGGTTGTCCAGCCCACATGGTGCGTCCTAGTGGGGAGGATGGGTGGGGAGAAGAGAGAGCGGCAGAAGATAAGTGGTAACATGTGTGTTACAAAATGGAGCAGGCTCTGCCTGGAAGAGGCGGTTACCGAGATCCTGTAGAGCAAACATGACCTTTGTTGTGTCACCCACGTGCCGCATGCAGGATAGCATGTTGGTGGTTAAGTAGTTAAGATTTGAGACGTCTCAAAACTGTTGTGCCACCCACGTGGCACGTGCAGGATAGAATGTTTGAAGCATGTGGTGGGGCGGGGTAGATGAAATGTTATGAGACGTCTCAAAACTAAACTACTTAACCACATGGCGCGTGCAGGATAGAAAGTTTGAAGCATGTGGTAGGGGGGGGGGGGGGGGGTTAGATGAGATGGACAGAGGAATGAGAGGCGAAGTTTATTTTTGAGGCGCCTCAAAAATAGACTCCTCACGCATGAAAGTTTGAAGCATGTGGTAGGGGGGGGTAGATGAGATGGAAAGAGGAATGAGAGGCGAAGTTTGAAATGGGCGCACACAATAATATGGGGCATGTCCCGTCCACTCGCTGTCCAGTGGACCAAGGGTTCTCCAATGAGTGGCAATCCTTGGGATCTCACTTACAAGCGAACCAAGGGGGCGTATTTGCACTCAAATATTGAGGTGCCAAAAGTATTCCACCCAACGAGCAGACCAAGGGCGTATTCGCACTTACTGGCGGATCTCGAGGATAATTTGGCTTGCAGGGGCCTGCTCCCGGCCGCAGAACTGCACCAAGTCTGTTTTTGAGGCGCCTAAAATTAGGCGTGATTGCACTTACCGGTGAATCTCGAGGAAAATTTGGCTTGCAGGGGCCTGCTCACTTTTAAGCCAACGAACGGCACCAAGTCTGTTTTTGAGTCGGCTCAAAAGTCAGCGCACTTACTGGTGAATCTCGAGGATAATTTGGCTTGCAGGGGCCTGTTCCCGGCCAAAGAACTGCACCAAGTCGGGAATAACCGCCTCCTCGCAGCGCTCACAGTCGATCTGTAAATAGAATCGGGAAGACGAAACAGAATGAGAGCGAATAAAATGAGTGGGATGGCATGAGACGGGGCAAAGGCTTGCTGCCTGCCAAAGAACTGCACCAAGTCGGGAATGACCGCCTCCTCACAGCGCTCACAGTCGAACTGCAAGAAACAGGGTAGAAGATGTTGAGGTGGAAGATTCGAGCAATTTTCTTGCCTATGATCTAACACTCTTTTTCTTTTTGCCAAACCGGATCCAACAGTCTCTTTCTTTTTGCTCAAGCGATCTACTGTGTACTGCCGCTCTTCCCAAAACCATGAGTGACAACGACCCACTCATCTTGAGAATGTCAATATGAGTGTGGTTAGATCCGGTTCAGCCGCTCCTTCATTATAGTACGCAGCGTCAGAAACTCCTTAGCTGCCTGGCACCGCCTTGCGCAAGGCTAACCTTGGTTGTGAATACTACCCCAAGGCCCACCTTGAGAATGTCGATATGCGTGTAGTTGAGCTCCTTCATAATTGTATGCAGCGTTTAAAGCCGTTGACCCAAAACGTACAACATTAATAAAGATGAACCAGGCAAAAAGTTGAGCTGGAGAAAGAACAGGGGCGTGGAGTAGTGGTGTGAGGGTGGCAAGAGCGGGCGAACACAGCACACTACGAAAACCAATCAAAACGAGCATAAAAATTATGACAGAACCAAAACATTCGCAAACGGCGACTGGGGGAAATCGAGGATGGGGAAAGGGAAAGCGGTGACTTCGAATTCTCGGTTTTTAACAGTGGTATTAATTTACCTACTGTCACTCTTTTTGCTAAAGTTTTTCCTCTTCGCTGCAGCCCACCCTAACGCTTAATGGCTACGAGGATGGGGAAAGGGAAAGCGGTGGGGCGCGCAAGGCGCAAGGGGGAGTGGGGGAAGAATACCTGTTCAGAGCGGCGCACGGCACGGACTGTATGTGGCGCGTGCGAAAGGGGTTTCTTTGTCAGGGGCGTGATTTATTGCTCCGTTCCAATCCTTGTTTCCTGGTTTTGTCGGTTTTATCATTTGCCACGAAATTATCTGTGTCGTTCTTCCGTAGTAGGTTACTACTGCAACGCAACGACATAATTGTGTTGAACACGCCCCGCAGGGCTCGACTGTGGGCTGGGTTTTGCTCTCCGAAAGTCCCAAATTGTATGCACGCGCTTTCAAGTTTCATGCTGCTCAATTGCCAGGTGTGTCGGGACTCGGGGGTTCGTGCGGAATATGTTGGGGGTGGCGCTTCTTCTGAACCCCGTCGTTTTGGGCTGCGAATTCAATTGCAATTCTCGCTTTGTGGTACTGGGTTACCGCTCGGGGGTGTTCAAGGTTAATAATCTTGAAACACAATTTCTGCAATTTGGGTCAACGGCTTTAAAGTTCCTCGGCAGACCCACCTGATATCATGCACATCCACCACATCCTCCCAACCCAATCCACCTTGAGAATGTCGATATGCGTGTGGTTGAGCTCCATCATAATTGTACGCAAGGTAAGAAACTGCTTAGTTGGCGCAGCCTTGCGTGAAGCCAACCGAATACATGTGGACGACGAGAGTGCATCGGGCGGGGCCCAAGACCCACCTTGAGAATGTCGATATGTGTGTGGTTGAGCTCCTTCATAATGGTGTGCAGGGTGAGAAACTCCTTAGTAGGCGCAGCCTTGCGCAGTGCTTCGATCTGATTGGCCGCGCCGACGCCCACGCTGACGTGGCGCAGGTGCCCCCGCTTGGCGATCTGAGCCTTGGTCCGAGCCTCCAGGAACGGGTTGATGATGAAGGAAGTTGCCTTGAACTTTCGCGCAGCCACATCTTCAAAGTCTAGGCTCACTGCGCCTATGCTGGAACGGTGGGAATGGGGATCAAAAGGGGAGTGGGGCAGATTGGGGAAGATTTATGAACAACCTGGGCAGCTTGCAACCCCCAGCTTGGGGACAGC